CCCCCTTTCTCTGCTCATTAGTTTCCACTTATGTTCCTAAGGGCACACCAGGTATTACAGTACTTTCCACAGGAATTCATTTCATCTGATTTTAAGCTTTAAATGGATTGTCTTTCCAGTCTGTTGATTAACATTTAAAAGTTTCTGCAGTTTGAAATACAGGAGCAAGAAGGGCCTTAGTCAGGCTGACTAAACCTAGCAATATAGGGCTCCAACAGGGAATAGAAGCACCACAAGGAAGAGTCTGGGAAGCTCATCCAAGGAAGAGTGGACAAGCTCATGTGTGCACAGTCTGAGTCTCAGATACCCAGAGACAGGCTGGTCACGTTAATGACCGAGGCATTGCGTATACATAAACATACGTATCAGTTTAAATGTCAGAGTATGTTTCCACTGATGACTATATGACAATCATGTTTTTCACTCTTGGGACCTCTGATAAACATTTCTTCTTCTGAGCATCTGCAAAGACATTCCTCGGGGCTGTTGCGTGGACTGACTGAAATTCTCATGGCACATGCTTCTCCCACAAGACGTATTTTATAAAGGAAATATTACTGGCTCGAAATTCCCCATTTTCAACAGCAAGTCATCTCCACTTACACTTCACCCAGGTCCCAGGATGGGCTTATGATCCAGCAGCTGTTCTTTAAGGCATTACTGCTGCACATGCAGCTTTCCTTTCTCTGGCTGAGGGAAGCGAAGAATCCATGGATTCACTGAACCATCACCCTCTTACCATGCTTCACACAAGAGGAGAAGCAGAGAAGCAAATGACTGCACTGAAAAGCCGTGCGAGCTTCCACGAGCAGAGCCTGCTGTTCATTGATGTGAACATGTGGAGCTGACGCTGTGAAGTAACAAGCAACTAGTCAATAACCTGCTTCACCAAGCAGATGGAATTTACATGCAACGCTGTAAAAGACATCAAAAGGTTTTGCTGTAGCCCGCCTGCCTGTTGACAGCAGACAGATCGTGCCATTTCCTACCTCTGTGCGGACAGTGGGAGAACAAACTACCTCAAGGTACAGAAGGAAAGTTACTTGAAACATGTGGCTATGGTGGCATGGGACAGTTTTCTGAGGAGAAAGATGGCTGGTATGTTGGGATGATGTGAATATGACAACCACACACAGAGAAAGAGAAGCTGAAATACCAATGCAGTTTAGCAACTTTAGTCTTTTCTTCAAAAGGTTTCCCCACTCCCGTGACAGGGCATGAAATACTTCTCTCATGGTTCTCCATAGCATTGTTATTGCTTACATTTTTATACACAAAAAGGTTTTAAAACAAAACTTCTCAAAAAAAAAACACCACCCCCACAGTGCTTAGCTTTTCTGAAATATTAAAAATGTAAAAGCACTATCAAAGTATTTTCTTGTAATTTCAGGGAACTTCCCTACCAGAAAACAGCGTTGGAGTTTTTCGTTACGCACACACAGTGCGAGGTGTTCTCCATCCACACACTGGAGGTTTTACACCCACTGCCCAAACAGCCTTCACTCCACAAGAGGCAAGAGCTATTGCAAATGGAATGTACTTTGTACTTCCACTAGGGTCGTGTTTACATTAGGTCAAATTAGCACAGAATTTATTTCCTATGCAGTACCCCTTAGGCTGTACCCCACCATTACACTAAGCTGCTGTTTGGGTTTGACTTCTAATAGAAGCTCTGGGGAAAAATCCAGTATAATACAGGCAAAACAATTGTTAATTTTGTTACAGTTAAAATAAATTTTACTTTTGGATTAACAGAACAGAGGAACAACAAGAGGTAACGCGCCAGCCTTGCCCACTTCACCAGACTCCCTAAAGGCCCAGGACACTGTCACCTCTGGGATTATCACATCGCTTTGGAACAGCGGCCAACCTTCCGCCCAAGCAAGGACAGAGTCACCGAGTCACAAAAGCAGGTGCCCTGCTGTGCCAGCTCCGTGACTGGCAATTCTCAGACATGATTAATGATGAGTATTTAATTTCCTCTGAAGCCACCATCTTTTCCAGTAAAGATAAATCCTTTTTTCCCTAACTTAGTAACTGAAGTTCCTGTCCACTGCAGGTTTTCAGCCCACTTTTCCTTGCCCTGCCATGCCACCCACTTCTTAGTGCTTAATTTCTTCAGTCCACACAGATGAGCAGAACAGCTGACGGAGACAGTGCTGATTTAAAGAATAAACATGCTCTCAGGCTGATAGTGGATCTATAAACTTTTGCATAACGAGGAGAGGAAAGCAGAAGAAAAGGGAGAAACAGATCTCTTTTTAAATGGAGATAGACGTCCTTTCCTTAAAATTCCCAGGCAGCCTAAGACAAGCACCATATACAAGCTTCTAAATACTCAGCCTACAACCACAGACACAAAAGGATCTTCAGCAAAACTCACATCTTTACTTAATTAGATAAATCAATGTGAATTTTTTTCAGACACCATCATGAATTGGCAAAAAAAAATCCAAGCCAAAACAAAAAAACCTCACTACTTAATTTTAAGCAAAACCTTTATTTTAGTTTAGAGGCTTGTTTGTATTAAAAACAATTACTTCAAAATCAAATTCACATTAAAATCAGCATGTAAAATAAACAACTTCTCACTGGTCAAGATCTGTTTCTGAAAGACAACGGCTCCGAATTACATTTTAACAACCTTGCGCAGCAACAGATAAAACTGGGATGGCAGTAGCATCTCTCTCTCAGGTTACAACTCTGAGGAGTTAAACTGTGTCGTCGTCGTCCCGCCCCCCTTCAGGACATTTTGAAACACCACTCGCAAACTGAGGAGGTCAGATGATCACTCTATTTCCCACTAATCCATTGAGCAACTATTGAAAAAGTATCCCAGTTTGATCTGCTACTTCGCAGGAGTAAACACTCTTCAGTGTTGTTCTGGGCATCGCTATTTTCTTCCAGGAACCGAAGTACTTGTCTTAAAACATTTTCCTTACAACACCAACACACAGATTTTTTTTTTTGAGGAGACTGTCACAATCAAGCTACATTTTATACACTGCAAATGTACAATCATCTTTAAAAATGCCTGTGTACAAAATAGAGGGTTCTTTTATTGAAAAAAAATTCATGTCCTACATTTCCATTACATCCACATTTTAAAGGAACTGAGAATAATTGATGAGTAATAGCAACATTCTGATATATTAGGAACCTTCCTGCAAGCAAGTGTAGAGGTACCTGCACTATACTTCAGATCCTAATAAGCTTTTTTTTGACAATTTGTGCTATAAACCTCATGGATGCAGTATGCAAAAAGCTATCAGTTGTGACAACAGAATAAAAGCTAGTTAATTAACACACGATTATTTCAGTAAAATATAAAATTATCTACTTAGGAAGGAAATACTGCAAGGGCATCTGATTTACAGCCAGTTAGACAAAGAACACAACTAGTGACTAGAACACACATTAGTTAAAAAGTCAAATATATACAAAAATATATTAGAAAGTGGTCGAGTTTAACCACAGGCTCATGTAAAAAATGTTGTTTTAAATAGCAATAGCAAAAAAATAGCTATTTTCTCTATCTGCAACAGTACAAAAGGCAAAACCTACATATGAGGTAGCAATGCCAAATTGAAAAAAAAAACCCACAACTTTGGATTGAGGAGCATTTCCTATATTTTCATAGCGTATCTGTTAATACAAATATTTAAATGAACACTTCAATTGTTTCAAGAATTAATACATTAATTTACAAAAACCTTTATTCAAGGAACACTTCCAAAAAAATTACTGGAAATGGATTTAGTCACTGATTTCTCCTGTTTCTAAAAAAAAAGCTACCGCATTTTCCAATCCAAACCCTGTACAGCGAAAGCATGGTGGCTTTATTATACACACTCGGTAAATGCTATAGTACATTAAGACATAATTTACAAAGATCAGGATAAGCCAACGGTGGCCATTTTACTCTTTCCTGTCAAACACATACACCGCACCTTCTGCTACCCCATGCAAAACGCCAGGTGCAGGATTAGGCTTCACTACTCACTTCCACAGCTGAAACAAGTGTTTGTATCATCTCCCTTCAGGAGTCTGAGCCAGAAGTGTGGCTTCTCGCCAGGGTCAGGGGTGCTGCCAGGCAGCAGCTCAGAGTCCCCCTTGGTCTGTGCTGAAACTGCCTCCAGAATGCAGGGATGGGATGGGACAGGATAGGACTGTGGTGCCCATTCACTTCTCTTCCCAATCCCATCCCTTCATCCCTCCTGCAGGCGTAGGGCAGGAGGGGCCACCTAAGCCTCCCTGACCAAAAAATCCCACTAATGAAAAGCCAGGAGGGGGACAACCACACAGCTGAGCTGTGCCAGCTCTGGGCCCAGGACTGCAGGGCAGCACTGCCCGTGGCACAGGCCCCTCACGGGGATCAAATCCTCTACTTCCAGCTCCACCAACCAAAGAGACCCTGCTGCTCCTCCAATTCAGGAAACTAAGTCAGACATCTGAAGTTAGATGGTACAAGTAACACCAAAAAATGAACTGGATGGAATTTCTGTATTTACTGTATTAAGAAAAATAATATACTTTACATCACAGTGCTTATTTAAATGCAATTAAAAAAATGTAAACTTAGGATTCTAGGTAAAATTTAAACTTGAAAAATTAGGGCTCCAGGACTTTTTGAAATTCATAATTTAAAAAAAAAAAATTGAAGTCACAGACAGTCAGTTCACATAATTCACATATTTAAGTAAGATTACATGTAAATACCTGTTGATGCACTCTACTGTTTGGTCACTGTTTTGTTTTGTTTTTTTGTAAAAAAAGCCTAAATAACAAATAGACCAAGTGCAAAGGTAAGAGGTATGTTTTTTATTTGCAAAGAAACTAACTTCAGAAGTAATTTGCAAGTCGGGCATCTGGAGTGCTCTAGTAGATGTAAGGAAATATGCGGTATGGTACACGCTGACAATACCTTTCCCATGCCAAGCCATATTTTTGCTTACAATGATGTTCATCACGAGCTTCTCGATGAACAAGCAAGCAGATGAAATATATCACATAGAAATACGGTAAAATGTGATTAAAACCTGTAGGAATAAAGTGAGAAAGTTACTTCAGATACAGCAAAAATATCCAAAAACGTTAGCTATTAACAACATGTACTAAACCGGTGACATAGTTGTTATGGACTGACGAATCTTATACTCGTAAAGTATCAAATACTCAACAGGACAGTGCAAAAACTGCATGATAGGTTCACATGCGGAGAGGAAAAAGACCGACAAAAAACTAATCCTTAAAATTCCGAGTCTCAAAATCTACCAACTTCACTCTCAGTGCCTGCAAAGCTGGCAGATATTTGAAGCTCTTTAGCTATCAAAATCAGATAAATAGTTAGACCTAAGCTGCCCCACACAAGCCCCAGCTCTATTTCAGGTGTAGATGGTAACTCTAGCTTTACTCAGACACTATTTGACTTGTGGATGAAAAGCTCAACGTGAACCAGCAAAGTGCGCTTGCAGCCCAGAAAGCCAACCGTATCCTGGGCTGCATCCAAAGAAGCGTGGCCAGCAGGTCAAGGGAGGTGATTCTGCCCCTCTGCTCTGCTCTCGAGACCCCACCTGGAATACTGCCTTCAGCTCTGGGGCCCCCAACATAAGAAGGACATGGAACAGGTCTAGAGAAGGCCTACAAAGATGACCAGAGGGCTGGCGCGCCTCTCCTATGATGACAGGCTGAGGGAGTTGAGGTTGTTCAGCCAGAGAAGAGAAGACTCCGGAGAGATCTTCTGGCAGCCTTCTGGTACTTAAGAGGCCTACAAAGATGACCAGAGGGCTGGCGTGCCTCTCCTATGATGACAGGCTGAGGGAGTTCAGCCAGAGAAAAGAAGACTCCAGAGAGATCTTCTGGCAGCCTTCTGGTACTTAAAGGGGGCTTATAAGAAAGATGGGGACAGGCTTTTTAGTAGGGCCTATTGCAACAGGACAAGGGGTAATGGTTCTAAACTGAAAGAGAGCAGATTTAGATTAGATCTAAGGAAGAAATTCTTCACTCTGAGGGTGGTGAGGCACTGGAACAGGTTGCCCAGAGAGGTGGTAGATGCCCCATCCCTGGAAACATTCAAGGTCAGGTTGGACGGGGCTCTGAGCAACGTTATCTAGTTGAAAACGTCCCTGCTCGCTGCAGGGGGGTTGGACTAAATGGCCTTTAAAGGTCCCTTCCAACCCAAACTATTCTATGGTGCCCTCCCACACATCCTCAACCACCACACAGTTACAGCAACACTTCGACTTCTGCCATTATGATGCTGACAGAGAATTTGAGTCCCTCATTTTCACAGGGGGAAGCCTCTTCCAGGATACTGTCTACAAGTGTATTCGCTAATCTAGTACTGTCTACTTCTCATTAAAATCCAAAATAAAATTAACCCCTGGAGGAACACCTGAACTTCAGCATCCTCTCTCAGCTGATGCACTGGATCAGGGCATTAAGCACTTGGTGACCAAGTCCCACTCCACCGAAACTCCTTGTGTTCCATAACCTGCAAAATCCAGGCTGTGCCATGGGGTGCAGAGTAGCTCTGTCTCAGGAGAGCCTTTGTCATGCTAATTTCTGTGCTTTTATAGAAGAGAAACTCCTTGAGGCAAGGGAGGAGCCCAAAGCCGTTTTTTCAAACTTGAATGAGAGGGGGCAGGACTACCATGATCAGATGTATTTCTGGAAACTGCCACTGCTTTTTCTAAGCTCCTGCAACGAATCAGGACTACAAAACCCCATTAGACAAAAGGCTCCCTAACATCCCACAAGTGTAAACTTCCTGAAAACTAGGAAGTATTCATTAACAAAAGCTTTGAAACAGAATTCCACTCCTTTGTCTTTTAATTTTTTTTTTTAAATGTCCATCCCTGTATGTGGCAGCTCTTGTCTCCAAGCAAACTCCCACTTTTTGGGAACTCCCTTTGAAGACACTATAGCACAGCCACTAGCCTAAAAAAATGCAAGGAACAACTTATTATCAAGCAAGCCCTATAGTTATTGAATAAGTGTCTGAAAGAAGAGTCAAATCTATAGTAAGATATAAAAGGTAAGATAAAATTGGTCTCGTATTAAACTTACGACACAGAAATTTGCCATTCAATTAATTACAGGTTTTAGTATCTCAAATAATTATCACTTTTGATTTCAGACCCAGTCAGATGCAAAAACGCACAAGCATTTTTAATAAATCCACGTTAGTTTCAGGAACTTACCACAGGGTAGGGACCATGCTAGAGCCATGATGATGTCACCAAGATAATTAGGGTGACGAACAAAACCCCACCAACCCGTGACAAGAAGCCCTTTTCCAGTTGCAGTGGGTATAAATTTCAGATCTGTGAATAGAGTATTGTAGTCAATACAACAATTGAAATCTGTATTTAAACAGTACAAAGAGGCATTGTATAGCAATTGAAGAAACAAAAAACGCACTTACAGGACAATCTGGGATCTGCGGGATTCCTTCGGAAATTATTTTTCTGAGAATTTGCACTGCGGAATATGTAATACCCAATACCTGAAAATAAATAGTTTTTATTTTGCATTGTCAGTATTTTCCAGTTTTCTTTCCTTCAACAAAAGCACTCACATGCTCTCTGGCTCTTATTACATCTCTTTTCCTCAGAGACGTAACTGATGTTCTCTGGTTCTCAGAGCTCTAACAGGACAGAAATGCTATTGGAAACCTGCGTTCCGTATGTTCTTACACATTACTGACTAACTTTTAGGATTTTGGAGAAGCTTTATTTTCACATCTACTTTTGCGTTTACATCTGACAGCATTTATTAAACGTAACACTGAGTTTGAAATTCATATAAAGTGACATGCTGCAATTTATAAGATTATAGCTCTGTTAGCAGCCCAGTATTTATATACAGTCCCTAATTCCATAAACTGACCAACCATTTACAAGTTCACAATATTAAAAGAACCAGACAACAAAGTATTATCTGGTTTTGAAATTCACTGCCCTCATCATTTTCACAAAGCAGTTTAAATTTGCTTTTTCCGAAGCTATATTGAAAAAGCATGATCACAACATACTTCAAATAAAGATGTTTAAAAAAAAACAACAACAAAAAAAAAGCCAAGAAAAAAACATTAACTGAAAAGGAAAAAAAGATCATGTATTTCTCAGGATTGCACATACCAAGTTGTAAGTTCTTACCAAGTTGTAAGTTCTTTCCAAGTTTTTAAATTCTCTGTCATGTCTACAAAAAACTTTTAGGTTTACTACTTAGATGAAAAGGACAAACTACTAGGCCATATTGGTGCAAATTTAAGGTCCCCTAAAGACGCAAGATCCTTTCTCAAAGCATTCCTCTAGAAAAAAAGATGTTTTCCTTTGATCTGAGTTTGTAACTATAGGCATCAGGGAAGGAGATGCAAATTGCTAAACAGCAAAAGCTCTTTTCCCTCGTTTCAGTAAAGCATAGCCAACAAGCTACTGACTTATTTTACACACATAAGAGTCACTCACAGTCATTCAGACTGACTTTAAAAGGCATCTGCTACACTTCATTCAAAATGCTTTAAGTCACTTCTGCAACTCTAGACAGCATCCATCTAAAGATGCCTCTCAACAGAAAAATCACGTGTCCAGGCTCTTGTTTATCCTTCATTTAATAAAATGAGAATTTATGATACTCTTCTACTAAACAGTAGCCAGACACATGCTTCCACCAGCTATGGTAATACAGAAAATACGATCACTGCATCTTAGCTACAGCTTCACCTCACAACTCAAAGAAACAAAATCAGTCCTACATTGTTATTACCAGTAACGGTAACATTTACTGTAACTTACAGTTCAGAATAGTAATTGCAGCAGCAACAGGCCAAGAAATCGCAGTAGGATGACCAACTAAATAGAAGGCCTGCAGACTGTAGACAAATGGAACCCACACCAAATCGCCAAATGCTAGCATGAATCCAAATCCATCATGGGTAATATCCATTGTAGTCAAAACAGCTTCCTAGAAACAAGGAGAACAGATTTTAGCATTGACAAAGCTTCATTCATTTAACTTTGTATTTAGCAATGGTAACAGTTAAACATGATTGTCATTTACCTCGTTCCAAAGAGCATCCACCACATACAGAAGCTGAAAGCTGTTCACAAGTATCATTGATAGAGATGGTGTGCTCCAATTGTGTATCTTCATTTCAGCCAAGAGCATCGCCAGGTTTATAACAACCTAGTTTAGAAAATATTTTATTACAAATTCTCCTTGTGAAAGAAAATCGTCTTTTCTATTACATTACAGGACATTTTAATACAGATGGTTTTGACCACTGTTTAAGTTTAAAAAAAATAATAACCTATTTCACAAGCCACAGTTTGCAACTAACTACATTTCTGAAGCTGTAAAATGTCAATGTATGGATACTCTAAGAAGGGTTTTCATTTCCCACAAAGCAAAGAAGCTAGAATGTAGAAATTTTTCTAAAGTGAATAAAAACGGTCATTAAAAAATTGGCAACATAAAACTGTAAATACTTTTTTCTTGTTTATAAATACATACTGTGTCCTTAATACCAATTATATGTATTCAAAAAAATTATAATAATCCACTTGTTTACTCTTTAAGCAAAACTAAGATTATTGACTCACCCAGCCAATTAATCCTGGACGCAACTCACAGAAGTACTTGAGGTCAAAATTGCCAATACGAGGGTTTAGTTCATGTCCAGTAAAAAAATCATAAACAAAATACCCTGCAGATAAGACAGCCTTTGTTAGCAACACTCTTTGTTTTATCTGCCACTACATTGCACCCCAACAAAGCAGTCTCTACCTTCTACTAAAGTTCTCTCATTATATATAAAAAAAGCCTTTAGATTGGCAAGAAAAATGCAAGAGCATAATGCCCAAATATTCTATTTATGAGGAGGACTAAATACTTTAGACATTACTGTAGGCTTATTTCTCCTTGACCCTTGTTCCTTCTTTATTTTCACCCTTATCTTGAAGCTCACATCACAGTTTCCATGAACACAATCTTACTGTATTAACTAACTACTACTACTCCTACTTTATTGCTCCCTTCTAGGAGCAAGAATTCCTTTAGCTGTGGCAATTATCTATCCATCAAAAGAGATGGACAAAAAGGAAAATAAAATACCTTGAATTCAAGATACCCTGCACTGAGTTAGCAAATAACAAGCACTTTGCAGAACAGTTACAAAATGCTACTACGCCACTTATAGAGACTAGAACTACACTTTTCAAAGGAAAAAAGATTTATGATAATTTATTATTTCCCTTCACACACATACATGCTGCACTGACAATGGAACTGTGGATATTTGAATACTTCATTTTAATACAATAAATGTTCTGTCCATAAACTCCCTTTCTTAGTCACCATACAATCATTTTTTAAAGCAGTTTGTTTAATATTTAATCCTAATCGACTTCTCAATCCACCCTTTGTCCTACAAAAACGTATGCACATAATTGACACTTTCTGGGTAAGGAGTCTCATGACTGAACCAAAATTTCTTTCGAAAACTCAATTCAACTAACTAGTTTTAAAAGTGCACAGGCAAAATAAAAGTTTAGAAATACGCCATAATTTCAAGTGCTGTACCTGACTCCCCACTGCCAAAAATCTAGATTTTTTTTTTCTTTTTTCAGTTTTTCTTTCTGTTCCTAGTTGTTTCAGGAAAAGGCCCACCAGCTGAGGCACTATGAAGTGAACGAGACAAGCCTCAGACAAATGCTGAAAACAGAAAGGAACTGTCCTTTCATTGCTAGGGGACTAGACACTAGACCAGCCAAGATATTTTCACACAAGCTACTCAAAATAATCCAACTAAAATTTTAAACATTTTACAGCATCTGAGTGTGAACAAAAAAGCCTCCATTACATTTCCAATCTTAATTTTACATTGGTAGAAAGTAAAAGTCACAGTATTATAATAACCAGGCCTAAATCTAGCCTTTAATTCATAAAAATGAAACAGGAGCAAACAATTGGAAAGAAATTATCGAAAAATATTTGTAACTCACCAGAATTTCCACCTGGTGCTAGTTCTTCCTCAGGTGCTTTCAGGGATCGAATATACAGATAAATGCTCAACACCACAGAAAAAGCTGCAGCTGACACTGCAAACTGCATGAAGTGATCATACAAATAATCAAGTTCAAATCGGAAGTATAACAAAGTTCCAATAGCTGCAGCAGTCAAAAGAAAAGCATAAAACCCTACAGGATGTAGAAGAAAAACGTATTAGCCAAAATAAAAAAAATAAATCATTCTAGTAGCATCTACCTAGTCCAGTCTTTCTGCATTTTTACTTCTTCCAAGATCTGTCTATATTCCAACAATGTCTGACACATCCCATGCTCTTGAGGTTCAAACTTCTGGGGCACAGCAATATACTTGAGATATTCTATCTATGCTTTGAAATTTCCTGTGCTCCTCATCAAAAGCAAAAGAACTCTGAGCACTCCTATATTTTTTACAACATAGGATCCTATTTCAGATTCTAGAGGCAAAATAGACACTGACACTGGATAATACTCAGTTACTCACTGGATAATGAGTAATACTCATCCTCAATACTACTGGATAATGACAGCAGGTCACAATCTCTTATCTGTGGGACAGCTCAGATAACTCAAAGAAGAAAATACAGTTATCTTCATATATACCTCAATACAGGCAGTGGTAATTAAAGTATAAAAATAACTGCCAAGTCAAAACTCGAACACAAGACTTTTGTACTTTGAGAGTATAAAATCCTGTAGAAAGGAATGATTCTATACACTCTCACCTAAGTACCTTCTACGAACCCTTTCACCAGGTCACAAGTGTTGATGTTAGAAGGGACCTCCACAGCTCATCTAGTCCACCCCTTCGCTCAAGCAGGGCCACCTAGAGCCATTTGCCCAGGACCATGTCCGCACAGCTTTTGAATATCTCCAAGGATGGAGACTCCACAACTTCTCTGGGCAACCTGTGCCAGTGCTCAGTCACTCCCACAGTAAAAAAGGCGTTTCCTGATATTCAGATGGAAATCTCCTGTATTTCAGTTAGTGCCCACCGCCTCTTGTCCTGTCAACTGGTGGTCTTCCTCTCCTCAAGAAGGCTTTCAAAGTTGCTTCAAGACTTAGCTTTTGAAGCAGCAAGGAGATGGCTTATCTTTTATTTTTTCCCCTCTTTTTTTTTCCCCCTCCTTTATCATAATACAGAAAAAAAAAATACAGGACTATGCCCCTACTAAAGATAGAAGTCCAAAATCAAAAATGTTATGAGGCAGTCTCAGTATGACTCACTTCCGCAGAATACAATTCACTCTGCTTCTACAATTTACAGCCCTACTCCAACTTCAAAACTGTGCATCTTGCCAGACTATGACAAAACCCCACTCAACTCACTACCACCAGATAGTGTTCTTGAACTGACTAATAAAATAGGTAGTCTGCAGTACCCACAAGGCATCAAAGTATACTTTTCCCTTTAAGCCTGCAAAAGCAGGACTGCTGAAATATGTCAAACTATACTCTAAACCTAGATGAGAAACTTGCCTTATTCATAGGAAGCCAAATCAGATCTAAGTAAGGACTCAGAACTGTTCTTTGCCAGGCAAGAATAACATCTTAAATCCATTACAACACGCTTTTTACTTGTCTGTAAATCAGAGACATCCAAGATGATCTAGACACATGGGATAAGATCACTCCTGAACATCTCTGGAGCAACAGTTCTTACATGAGCATTACTAATGCTTCTGATAGGCAACCGCCCCTTTAGCAATTATACAAGGAATAACAGGAGTCACCAGTCACAACTGGATACAGATCAGGTGCCCGGTATAGTGTAATGTCTTGCTCTTGGGGCAGTTAGCTCCTAATCATTACAAACCACCTTCCTCCAAGAAAAGTCTCATCCTATTTTATTGGAGATTAACAACAGATACGCCGTATGGTCAAACTAGGTATCTTTCATCATTTGTGTCTGTCCTGGTTTCGACTGGGACAGTTTTTCTTTTCAGTAGCCAGAAGAGCACTGTGTTTTGGTTTTAGTCTGGGTCTCGTTATGAGAAGAATGTTGATAGCGCACTGGTGTTTACACTTGGTACTGAGACCTCAAGGATCTTTCAGCTTCCCATGTTTTTACCAACGTGCAGAAGCACAACAAGCTGGGGGGGAACATGGCGGGAACAAATGACCCACAACTCCTCTTACGATTTGAACCCAGATTTCAGATTGAGGGCCAAACTGGCCAACGGAGTATTCCGTACCATGCAACACCATGCCCAGTACATAGATGAGGGCTGACCAGAAAGAAGGTATTCTGCTCTTCTGGGGCCTCACTCTTGAACTCTTGGGAGTGCTCTCTCTCTCTCTCTCTCTCCCCCTCCGTTTTTGGGCCTCTCATCTGGGATTGCACTGTTGGGATTTATCTGTTTCAGGACTGCCTGCTGTGACAGGCCAGGCGTTTGTCAGCGAGTGGTGAGCAATTACACTGTGCATCACCTGTTTGCATATATATATAAAATTATTATTTTAACATTCTTCATTTTAATTTAATATTATTATTATTAAATTGTTCTTATCTCAACCCACGAGACTCCTTCCCTTTTCCCCTTTAATTCTCTTCCCCATTCCCCAGGGGTGGAAGAGGGTGAGCGAGTGGCTGTGTAGCATTTAGTTGCCGGCCCAGTTAAATCACGACAGTACCTTATGGTACTGAGCATTGCAAATCAGCTAGTGGTATTAAATTTCAGAATAAGCAACTGCAACGTGCTTACCATTTATCCGGTACTGCAGTTTTCTTCCATTGGAAAGGGGCAGGCCTTCTACAACCTAGGAAGAATAAAATTCTAGTGTTTCAACAAAGTACTTCCTAGGCACACTGGCAGGGGAAGGAAATCAGGTACATCTCTGCCACAAAGGCATTCCACCAAGGTAACCAGCTGGACACATTCAAATCTGAAGAACATGTATTTTTCTCAAAAGCACACTTTGGGTATCAAAAGAGAAAGGGTAACAATTTCAAATAAAAATATTAAAAAAAAAAAATATCTCTTCCTAACCAGCCTCAAGAAAACAGAACAGCTCCAATCATTGCAAACATGTATAGCAACAGAACAACATGATTGAAGGATCTATTTATTATAACGTTCTTCCAGAACCTGCCAGTATCCCTCAAGTCACAAAAAGAAGGAAACAAAGCATTTGCCAAAACACCAGATATCAATAAGAAACTGAGTACCAACCTGTTTGTCAATTTAAAAGTCAGACACCTGAAATTCTTCTAGAATTCTGTCAAGCAAATTTTATTCATGGTTTGATTTGAACTCTTACATAACGTCTTCTGCCTTTTCTACTGTAAGACTGTGAAATGCACAGCCATTCAATTCTTAACAAACTCTGCTATTTTAAGCTCACAGAAATCTGCAATAGCCATAGTTCAGCTTAAGATGGAAAAACAATTTATTTGCTTTCAAATTCACTGCATCAAGAACAGACTCTACCTTCCAGCCCAACACACTAATTAACCATAAAGACCCAATTGCTCCTTAACAGCTTACCTTTCCAATCGGCAGCAAGGAAAACAGAGCTTGAAGGAAAAACCACAGAAGAAAAACACCAAACACTCTAGCCTCCCAAAGACTTTCAAGTGCTGGGAGAGGAGGAGGGAAGTTCATAAGACTGGGGTCATCCTGTTTGCACATCAACAGCAAGTACAATACAGTAGCAGGCAGGAAAAACATCAGTGCTAAGGTCCCTGTAAACAGACATCATGTCATATTAGATGATAAATATAGGAAAAAAACACAAACAAACTAGTTTCAATCCAACTGATGAAGCTCGATATTAACTTTAGTAACAAAAAAGAGGTTGTCATTATCTATTCCTGAAGAAAGACAGTGGCAATCCCCCAGTCACGTAATGGGACACAGAGACATCCTTCTCACTCCCATATGGGGGTCACATAATCAAACAGAAGGATCACACCCACTGCATCCCTTTAAAACTGTTCAAAAAAACTGTATAAAGAATACTTTACCGTCAAGTTCAAAGCACCTAGGTTTTAAAAATGTAAAAACTTTGCTTGTTACTTCCTAAATTTAACTTGGATGTACTTAAATCTCACTGTGCAAAGGAAGCTCAAGATCTTCGCTGTACTTCACAAGAGAACCAAGTGTAATAATAACAGTTCTTCAACTGCCACAGATACCAGTACAGACTACGTGAAGCACTAGTCATATGACTCTGGATTCTGCAACCAGGGTCCAAATATCAGAAAAACAGTTCTTGACATGACAGTCTATGGTCAATAAGCAAAAAAACAGAAAAGTACTAATTTATGACTACTATATGACAATTTGCACACATACCAATTCTTCCACCAAACTCTAGCTCCTTTGTTTTTGATGATGCTTTCTCAATTCCTTTTATTGTCTCAAAAATCTTTTTCTCTGAATATATCTCTTCTTTTTTCTTTTCTTCTTTTCTTGGACGCAAGCTGTAGCTGTACTGTTCAAGCACACGCTCTATTTCCAAGTCTGGTTTCAACTTTTGCTGTTAATGAATAAAAAGAATGTACTAAAAAACTTTCCAGTGATTTCACCTTCTTTTACTCCAATATTTTATACTTAGGAGGACATTACTCACTATGAAACAGCAATATAAAATGTGTTCTACTTCTATAGAATATTTAAGCTTATGCATTTATATGAAGAGCCGGCTAAAACCAGTTTCATTGTGATTGGTTAGGCCATGATTACGTATCAGAAGCAGTTCCAGTACAGGTCATCCATCTCCACCCTCCTCTGCTCCTTTCTGCCATAACTCTGTATATCAGGTATCAATCAGACTAAAGAACTGATTCGAAGATAAAAATAATCACTTCCTATGGCCAAACATTATGAACAAAAGTAACCAATGAGGGTTTGATGGAAAAATAAACAGAAAAAGTGAATGTTATGCAACTCTAGTACTCTTCCCTTCTGAACAACTTCATCTCCTTCTCCTCTGAACTCAGTTAGCTGAAGAGTAAAGTTATTTAACCTCCAAGTTTTATGTTTCTTTTTATTTCTCCTTGATTATTGTATCGCCCTTTTCTAGGGATTTCAGAGAAAGCTTAGTTTTAATCACATTCTGAGAGTAACTACATTGTTCATACCTCCAAGATTATGCTGGATGTGTCATTTATTTCTGTACTGTCAGGCTCACCATTGTAGCTTCTGGTGTTATTCTCACTCGGTTTCTGGTTAAAAGAAAAAACCTAGTTTTAGCTTTCTGAAAATAACAGCTGCATTAAGTGTAGGCATACAATGAATAATTAAGAACACTAACTATCTAGGTTCTTTTCAACTGCAACTGCTCCAGTTTTCTCCACAGGAAAACAAGTGAGTTCAATATCCAAAGCACAGACAGTTTCAGCTCACAAACAAGGGAAGAAAATTCATTTAAGAATAGGAAATGTTACTATTATTTTTTTTAATTACAATGAAATTAAGAGTATACAGCTTCCAAGTTACTTTTAACTCATCATTACAAGCTGCCAAGTACAAAATACACATCTATTTAGTAACTCTATTAGGAAAGCAGAGGAAACTTCAGTGTCCTATATGACACTGCTCTGCAGGACTGGAAGCCTGGTTTTCCATTAAATATCTTTCTAAGAAATAAATTCTCTTACAAAAGTTATTCTAGCTTACACAACTCTGGGAAGACAACTCCTCTGTTTTGTTTTATTTCAACTTAACCTTTGTCAAAAAGAACCAGGTCACTCCAGTCATACAACAACCAATAGATGAAACCTACTCAATTAGAAACCAGGAGAAAAACACCAAAGGTATTTTAACCTTTTAGTCCAAAGTAAAGTGTAGCTGCTGGCTACAAACTACTTAAAACGAGCATATCATCCACAGGCTATGCACTGGGTCACACAGCTCAAAAGTAGTTCACTCCAAAACAAAAATCACAGCAATTTCAGTGCCAAAGAATCCTTTTGGTAGTAGCAATTTACTAAACTATATCTATCTATTTACATTAGATTGGCCTGGTTGAGTTTAGCTGAAACCTAACTAAAACCTCTCTATTTTCAACAGATGGCATTTCCAATTCGAGGGACTGAATCTCAGACAACCATCACTTGAAGCTATCTCAGGAGCACAAGAGGCAGAAGAAATGCTGTCTCTTAACAGAGAAACATCATGTCTACTATGCTTCATTTACAGAAAAACAGAACCTTCTTTAGTACTCAAAATAATCTTCACAAAAAGGCCAAGAACAAACACGATAAATTTCAGCTAAAAACCAGCTATCTGATAAACTTCCAAATCCTTACAGGATAGTTTTTACAGTGTAAACGCTTCTGCATTATTATCAATCCTCAAGGCCATATATAGATATCCCACACTTGAATTCTGCAGCAATTGTCCCACAGAAGCTTCATGTGTTTTCCGTTACTATTTTAATGAACAGTACATGAAAATAGAACTCATTTTATTTCAAATTCAAATATCTACCTGCTATGATTGATTAACACATCTTAAAAGTAGGCTCTCTTTGCCTCATTTCACAAGTGGGAACATATAGCTAACAACTACTTTGATATTACAATATTAAAGAATTTGTGGGGTTTTTTGAATTCTGAGAACTTCACTGTACCACCAAATTCAAATGGAACTTACAACATATGTTAACATTTCAAGAATTTCCTCACAATTCGGCAACCTAGAAAGACTATTTAAAAAAAAAGGCAGTTTTGAGATACACTTTTGCAGCTAATTATGCTGTCCAGGGAACATGGACTACAGCTAGCTTGTAAAATAATAAACCCAATATGCATAAAACAGATCTTTTGCAAATAGAAAAAGTTTGCTTTAAATAAAAAATCCAACAAACCCATACATACAGGAAAAACAAACAAGGAAAAAACCTAATACCGGTAGAACCACGTTGGTCTCCTGAATGGTTTTCTTTTTGTCATCTTTATGCTCTCTGCTTTGGGAAGAAGAACGACGTCTGCCTTTTGCTGGCCGACCAGGAGATCTAGATCGAGATCTGCTACTACTTCTTCTGGAAGGAGAACTTGAAGAGGATTGGCTCTTCCTGTGCTTGAATGATGACTGTGACTAAAAGAACGAGGTGAAGAAGGCGAAATGTTATTTTAGACATTCCAAAGAACAATTTTAGACACTTGCTTTTTTTGTGACGACGACTTTGGCATACAGTTCAACAGAATTCTCTCTTATTTCCTTATATCAATGCTGTTAAGAAAGAGCAACTACAGCATACTCATTTTGCTGGCAATACCCAAATAATCCTGTCCCAAGTCCAACTGCTGACAATTCCTGTCAAAGCTACAGAAATCAGGCTATGGATGTGAGCACCAAGCTCTTATGCAGAGGTTTAAGAGGGTAGTACGCTTACAGTACATGAAATGGCTATTGTTTCAGTCACTTAGCTTTATTAACACATTTGGCGTATCAAGACAGAATGATCTGTATAAGGCAACACTGCCCAGGTCAACATTAAAAACCTCAAGTCAGCTAAATCATTAAATTAGATGTAATAACTAATTTCATAGAGATTTCCCCAAAAGTACAGTTTTATTTTTCTGTGAAGTCTACAATGCTTATTTTCCCAAGTAAAATTTCCACAACACAACTTTTATAAGGCAGAAATGCTTTATGACAAAGAAAGGTATTTTCTCAGCTTGAATTTGCTAACCTGCAAGCACAAAGTAAACAAGTTAGAAAGTCTTAAAGCATGAAAACATTTGTTCAGCTCAAGGCAGAAACATTTTGTCCTAAAAGAAAAGGTCACTTACAGGCCATGTACACTGTTACCAAAAAGTGAAGCTACAGTTCACATGAAGACGCACAAGTCAGCTTTGAACTTATGCAGGTTTCAGAACAGGTCTTAAAATCAATTACAGCAAACATTCAAACAGCTTTTTGTCTCGTGCATTATCACATTTTAAACTGAAATGAAACTTGTATGCAGAGTTTCAAAGGCCTTTATTAGTAACAAAAAGTGAAATAATAAAGATATGTAAAGAGGAAGGGATGTGCTCATACACATATGACATGACTCTTTGAAAAGTCCCTCATTGTCACCTAGAGAGCAAAATACCTTATGAAACCTTTGGCAACCTAAAACAGTACAAGCTATTCACAGATCTTTTAACTGTGTGCTTAAAGGGCACATGCTATTTATATTTACCATGATCCTTAACTACACGCTTCCATTTGTTCTCAAATGTTCTTATTCAGAAGTGGAAAAAAAGTCAAATTATCATTTTTGTAAGCTACCGCAAACAATTTTTCATGAACAATCATGCTCTGGAGTTCTTGAACGATCAGACTTATTTTTTCCCAAAATGTATCACTGTTTTTTCAACATAAAGAAAACAATCACACTTCTTTAAAGGTAGGGTCAGCATTCTGAACTTCTACTTGAGATGTCACATAGGACAGAGCTATTGTTTAGCACCAACTCCTCGAAGACACAGTTAATGAAAACTTCCAAGGCAACTACCCAATTATAAGTTGTACTTTCATCTACATCATAAAAATCAATATAATCTTGCATTTATATAATTGTAGGAACACTGACAATTATATAAACATGTACTCACCCTTATATCACTTTCTTTCAACGCAAGTTCGGTCCCATCTTTGTACTTAACAGTATAAAGATGAGAAACATCATCGTAACTAGTCACTTGTACTTCATAGTACAGGACACTTCCTGGCCAACGGCCCATCACCATCTCGCCATCAGCAAACCTCCGGTTCGGCATTTTCCAAAAGAAATCCCTAGAAAAGAAATAAATCAATACATATGACAGCTAAACATTAGGCTTAATTTTTGTATACTCTCCTTTTGTATCACTTAGGCCAGAACATGGAAACTTTAAAGTACAAAACTCTTCACCTTAAATAGGCAAATAGCTGCCTGATAAGAAAATAGCAATGATCTATTCTCCAAATTAATAGTAGAGAGAAGAAATAGGCTTAAAATAGAGCAAAGATTGAAGTTAGACATTACGAGAAAATGTTCAAATGTATTAATAGTACATCTAGACCAGTATTCAGCTACGATATACAAGTTCCATCACCAGAGACTATTAAAACCAAAGCATATATTAGACCAAAATTACATAATGCAGTTGATCTCATCTAGATGGAAAAAAGTAAATTAGATGGTGTCTAAGTGTCCTCTAACCTTCTTTCCTGTGGTTTTACAAAAATTACAGAAGTGATGATTTCTAAATGTTAAAATAAAATGTCCCCAATCTATTCAATACACACAGCCACATTACACACTTTCTTCAATTTATTACGTTTAACACTCGAAAGCTAGGAAATACCAGAATTTAGGCTCCTGTCTGGGTTAATATTTTTTTTCTCCTTTCCACCTACTTAGCACAAGGCACACAATGCCTTTTGCAGGGGCCTGTGGTAAAAAGAGTAGAGCATCAGAGCAATCACATAATATTGTGAAAAACTAAATTCTATCCCTCTGTTCTACACCATAAGGTTATTGCTTGATATTAGCAAAACATGGTTTAAGTGACTACCACTCTCGGTCCATCACACCAAGGCACTGGGAAAACCACAACTGCAACTTAAAGATATGTTTTTAAATATAAAGCTCTGTATAACTCCCCGAAGAGTGCCTTCTATTATGTCATTGCCTTCTGAAAATCAGTATCCATAGTAGAACATACTTTTAACCTGAACTTCTGTGACTCAGCCCTCAACATATAAAGTGAGGCTGTCTTTAAGGTAAAATACATACTAACTGACGTACTATCTCTATTTATATGATGAACATAGGAACTTGGGGGAGGGAAGAAGAAAAACAAACAAATCAGCAAGTATTTTTGTTTCAAAGCATTTTAACTTGTTTGTTACAAGTAAGATGAAGCCACACAAAATGAGGTGAAAACAAATATTTAGCTGGATACTCATCCATTACACATTAACTAACCTGCACTGAAAAGTCAGATTCTTTGGCAAAAATTACTGTTAATACGCAATCACAAACCTTCATAACACATTGGGGGATGGGGCTAAGTAAGGCTTTTCAATCAACTTTCACTTTGGCACTCCCTGAAGCTGCTGCTTCTGCTGTTAGATTTTACACCTGTGTAGCTCTCCAAGTCAAAGAAGAAACAAAAACTCGGCAAAATTATCTCATGCAGATTTTACTGCTAACATTCCTAATTCCTTCAGAACAGAAACATCTGGCCATCTCCTTTGTTGTATAACATTTGAAGGAGTGAAAAAAGTAAGTGTCATCATTTGGTTTCACTGATACTCACCAGTTAGAAAAATTATCAGAGTTCTAGTCTATGCTTGTAGGCACATGCTTGTCCAGCTCATCTTCTACCTCGTGTTTCTTGTCCCAGTCTCTTGTTACTTTCTTACTCTTTCTGAATTCCTACTCCTTCAACCCTGTTTTATCTCAGAGTTGAACTCCCTCAAATTCAGAGTCTTGTTTCTTATGACTCCATGAAATACAATTTCCATATTTTCATTTCAAATTCTTCTCCATTCTCTCCTTACCCCCGCTAATTCCTTGGGGGTTTTTGGCCTATTCTGCCCTAGCTCGTCAAACTAGTTCCAGTTCCCCTCTGGGCTCAAGATCTGATCTCAATCCCTATCTCTGTCTCCTTTCCAGTTTTTTTCACCCAAAAGGCAGTTCTTTAGGAGATTCACATCTAGTACTGCTCCAGTTCCAGCTTCTTCCTCTTTCTCCATAAATAGCCTAAACGCTGGTCCTCCACCATGGCCAGTCATAGCTTTCACCGGATCTCATAACCTGATCTATGACTTCATTTCCTTTTTGCTGTTGTACTTCCTATGCTCCAGCCAACTGTTTCTCCTTTTGACCTGGAACACCTCAGGCATCCATCGTCTGTAAACTCAGAGCCTGACCAGGACAAAGCTGCCAGATCCTAGGACAAAATTGTGAAAAACAGAATCTTTGGAGTTTAAATCCTTTTTGAAAAAGGGAAACAATTTTCCACAAAATTGTTACTAAGGATACATAAATCAATTTTCACAATTTATAACCACCACTTCAAGCTTCAGATATAATTTCAGCAGGGATAATAAAATGCAATTATCTACCAAACTTCAAAACTCGGCATTTTTGTACACAAAACCAAAGATAGCCCAAAGAAAAGGTAACCTGATAATTTATTTAAAGGCAGAAAGACCTTCCCCTCCTGAAACCCTGTTTTCAAAAGGAGCTGACATTAGTTTTAAGAAGCCAGCAAATGTCAGGTTGAAGGACTTGAAGCTAAATCAATGTTCAGCTTGAGGTAGATATCAACAGTATAAAACTCCAGAATAATAATAAATTTAAGCAAGTGGAAGTATTATCCTGTGATTCAAAAGTAATGAACGACCTTACTAATGGCCAGACCTACTTATTTTTCCATGTTTTCCTTTAATATTAAAGCTTACTAATGAGATCAAACATTAAATGCTAAAAAAGTAGGTATTACTTCTTATCCTATCAAAAATTACCACCTTGTTCTGCACTCCTATGCCTCCTGTGAGATAGGTTTGCAATCCTCATTCCATACATCCCACTTCAAAAAGCTACACCTTTTAAAGGCAGCCTTCATCTGTTCAGACAACAAAAACCATTACTGGCATCAAGAAAAATACAGACAAGTTGCCTTTAAAAATAATACAGTTTAGAAATTATATTTTGAATTTACCGCTCTTTCAGGCTCTACATACACCCCTGATAATTTTCAGGGAATCAGTTGGCATCAGCCTATTGTTCACAGTAGTCCTTTACAAACTTTTTAATTCATAGGGTTTCAAAATACATATCCAAGAACCTTCAAGAGAAACTTATTTCATACAATGAAACCTGTACTGCACAGATACCTGACTGCAATTATATTCGCTTACTCCCAAGATGAAATTTGTGTTTTCTGCACTATTATGATTTTCCTTTAGGAATCCAGATTCTAAAGGAATGGCTCAAAAGGATTTTGCATCCTACACAAAGCCAATTAACACAAAACTCCCCAGAGCTTAAAAGTTGGTCAAGAACAAAAGTTACTGCTGACTCAACTGAGAATGAAACAATTAAAGAGAAACATGGCAGAAAAACGTATTACCCCATACGTCTATTTCTGGTCTTTCTTAATGACTCTCTTACGAAATATGTGGAAAGATATTTCACTCCTCAAGCAAATAAGAGGAAAAAGACTGCTAGCTTGTACTCTCTAGAAGATCATACCACATCATCAGAAGTTGGGTGCACAGTGTAAAGAAGAATTAAATCGCTGAACAGAGTTTACCCTCTTGGAAGAGCAAAGTTCATACATATCCAGTACCAGTATTACTTACTAATTCTAACATCTCACCACCGGTAGAAAATGTGGTTTATGTCAGAGGAAAGAGCCAGTTGAACGCAAGAAAAGAAGAAATGTAGGAAAATAAAAACACCGACAGACAACAAAAACATCAAGATAGCTTCCTACACAGAAAGTTACTACCGAATTCACCAAAGAGCCGAAGCCGTGCAGGGCCTTTTCAGGATTACCATTAGTCACTTCACGTTTCTAGCTCTCTACCTCCATAACGGTGGAGGCATCCACCCTTGTTCAAGCTTGGCTCGACTGAACAGCCAAGTTAGCTTCACCGCTAAAAACAAACACAAACAAGCCTCGAGGTAAAATAAAAACCTCGGGCAGGGAAACGAGGTTTTCCCCCTTTAAAAACGCTTTCCATCAGAAGCACTGAAGGCGGAGGGAACGCGCCAGGAACTCGAGCTCCCCACAGAAGGCCGCGAGAGGCGGCGGCGTGTTGACAGGA